ACCTTGTGTTTAACAAATTACAGTAATCTTTGGTTTATGGTATTATAACCATAAACCAAAGATTAATGATTACTGATTAGGAGCCGATTTTTCAATAATAAGTTAGGTAATTCGTGTACAATAAAATTGACATTTGACAGTTTTTACTTTTTAGTATGGAAGAATTGTCAAATATTCAAAGTTATTCTCCAGTAATTCTGATAATTGTAAAATCGGCCCTAAAATGTGCATCTAATTGTGCATCTAATAATACTATGTCTAATGAATATTAACTATTACAAAACAAATAGTAATTCTTCATGTGTACTTCGTTGTTCATTCAGATTATATGTACAGGGAAACTAATAACTATAATAATAGTGACGAACATAAAAAACCCTTACGAATAAACACAGTGAAGTCAAGACATTTCTCATACGAATGTGTTTTGTATAAAAGTGCAGTGAGAAATGGTGGGAACATCATTCGAATGCAATCATTTGCTCCAGACATTCGAATTGACATTCTTGAGAATAATCGACTATTTGTTTCATCATGAAGCTGTTCGGTCTCGTTGTGTTGGTGATGGCAATGCTAGCCCTGCTGGGCGGTGCTAGTGCCAACCCTAAAGGCATCGGTGGCGTCATTAAGAAGGGCGGGCAATTTATTGTGAGTATAAGTATTTTTATGAGATTTTGGACTTAATTGTAATGTTTTTATAATAACTATCTTGAGACAGATTAAATTAACTAAAAATCGCGGGTTACTCACGTGAATATAATGAGGTGACGATGTTGCGACCGCGCACGCTGCTCATGAGGAAGAACCCCACTGTGGTTCGAAACTAGTAGAGCTTTTCTCAGTATATTCACGTGAGTAACCTGCGATTTTTAGTTAATTCATTGTAATGTTTTGTGGTTGAAAATTAATTAAATAGTTATTATTTTAGTAGGTTGATCAAGTTTGTTGTAACGTTTATTGCAAAAAACACATCTGATTTTCACAGAAAAATATGTGTAGTAATGTGATTACAGTTCAAATATTTCATGATTTTATTTTATTGAGGAGAACCATCACTATTCAGCACTGTATGTGCATGGTGTACACTTACTTTTAAAGTAAATACTATAAGAAAATTTCAATATTTCTGTTTATTTATTTCAGAAACATGGTCTCGGCGTGATTGGTGTTGCGGGAACTGGACACGACATATACCAACAATCAAAACAACATTAATATTAATTGATCTATTTTGCCTAGTAATAAAATGTATACAGGATTATACTGCATTTCTTGTTTTAATCATTAAGTACGATTTGAATTAAAACTTACTCTTTTTTCAACTAAATCTTAAACTTTATTAATGTGCACTTCTCGTTTTCTATCTACTGATAATATTAAAGGCACTATAGGTTGGGCTCGCTGCCATTGCAGCGGTAAGTCCCCTCTTTGAGGAGTGGCTTGAGAGACGCTACGGCGTCCTCACCTACCGCCTGACGCAGGTCCTCACCGGACATGGAAGTTTCGGGAGGTACCTGTGTCTGATGGGGCGGGAGGAAACGCCCGGGTGTCATCACTGCGAGGACCGCCCTGAGGACACGGTGGAACACACAGTGGGAGAATGCCCTGCGTGGGCTGAGCACCGCCGTGCCCTCAGGGAAGTGATCGGCGATGGCGACCTCTCGCGTCCGGGCCTAGTGCAGGCCATGATGCGGAGCGAGGGGGACTGGGATGCCGTCTCCTCCTTTTGCGAAGCAGTCATGCTAGCTAAGGAGGAGGCGGGACGCGTGAGGCAGCGAAGCGCTGCCTCCTCGCAACCCAGCCATCGCGAAGGACACACCGGGCGTCGGGGATCGCGGGACGATCTCCGGCCACCGTAAGCGCGGGCCTGCGGACGGCGAGCATGGGTGGCTCCCCGTCCGACCAGAAACAGACCCGAGCGTACGGCGCGTCGCGTTCCGCGCGCGCCTCAAAGAGCATCAGACCACCACAGATGGGGCCCAATAGGGCCGATGCCGATTCGGAGTCGCGGAGAACCTAACGGGTAACCGGGGCTCCGGCTCGACGTGCAGGAGAAGGAACGGGGTGGTTTTTAGTCAGTAAGAGTCTGACACTCCCTTCCGCCTCACCCAGGCGGGAGCAGTCATTCGATGATTTTCCCCCTTAAAAAAAAAAAAAAAAAGGCACTATAGGTACCTATGTATGTACGCAAGTGACTCTTCTAGATACATAGTCTAACTCTTATTAATTTTTTTTAATTCAGATTTAAGGTTAAGAGCATTTAGAAGACGTTTATCAGGGTATTACATCAAGCCAGTCACATCATCGCTACCACGAGGCAAGATGGTTGGCAAACACCAACTTTTAATAGGACTGTGTAATGTGGATGCCTGCTATAAAAATTTATAGCTTTTTCCGTAATTAAAGCATGAAACATATCAAAGTTAAAGTCAAAATCATTTTTTGAATTAGAGCAGGAAACCACTTTTGAAAGTGAAAACAAAAATAATTTATATTAAAAATGCCACCACAAACTAAATTGCTCGAGCTTAAACAAGGAGTTGTGAATATTTTCCTTTGAAAATGTTTCAAGGTCGAGTTGGTGCACGAGACATCTTTTGATTAGCAATATATTGCATGTTACATTAACTCAGGAAAGCAATATTCAACATACTTCTTCCTTATTTTACATTTATATTAAACGATAATTTTGTTATAATTTGTGGTTTATGGCCACTAAGCAGTAGGTAACCTATACATGCAGAAACAAATGAATTTATCATTGGTACCATCAATCAAATAAATATGTATATAGTTCCTTCCGTCGTTGAGAAAGGAAGACATAGTTTAATTTAAACTTAGTTGAACTGTGACAGAATTGGCGCCTATGTGACGCCTTCAGCAATCACTACGTCATATTTTACGGTTTACGAAGCATGGCTACGAATAACACTTACGGACTATAATTTACACTCGACTAACGAAAGGTCTCATTTGATTTTCAAGATGATGACTTTATAAAATGACGCAGTCAAACAATTATCTCACTAAACTAACTTACATTGTGTAATAAGTAAAATGATATATGTAAAAAAATGTTTTAAGTATGTTAAACGGTTTTGATGAGTTCTATTCTACCTAATGATGCCCTTTCTTTCTTTTAATATTCATGGATTTTGGAACATAACTGGATATTCATGAAACATTCATATTCACGGAGGTAGGCAGTTGTGGAAAATTTATTATGTTTTATGGTCATCTAAATAAAGAGTGTGACCCACCAAATATCATTCCAATAGGGTAGATGCCTAATTTTTATTTCAATTGCCGTCTGGTAGATTATTTTAAATCATTAGACATTATAATATTTTATCATTACTTAACTGACAGACTAATTACATTTTTAATTTTCATACCCTGTCATCATCCCTATTACTTGGCCATAGGATTGACGTTTTCCCTATATATTAAGTTTTCTACTTTTTTGGTAAGACAAGCGCTTAAGTAGCACTTGGCTAGGGACCTAATTGAAGAAATATTAAACAACAAGTAAGAAGCAAGTACCTACCTTAATCAGTGTCTTTGTACAGTCAGATGGGATAATGTAGTGTAGGTAATAAAACAACATAATATAATGATGTAATATTATAATGTAAGCTAAGGTAGTATATGGATACTATATGTGTGGCGTTCAGTGCTTTAACAACAATAATAAAAGAGGAACTCGACTAGTTTCAAGTCATGTTAGAGGCTCATATTCATGGGCAGCATTCCACGACCCGTGACACGGCGACTGTCACGCTGCTACTGGGTGCAGCACTGAGTGCTAGTCGAGTTCCCCGTCAAACAGTTACGTGGGTAAGCCGATAACATAGTAATTAATAGTATGTCTCAAAAAGTTTTAATATAACAATAATAAAAGAAATGCATGAATTTATGTTACACATTGTCTGAAAAAACTTTGTTATATTTTTTTGAACTTTAGTTTTAGTACTAATTTCTTTTTCTGGCGTAGGTTCTTCCTTCTCTGTGAAAAGATCATAAAACTCGTAGCCGGTTTGAGTTAATTCATTCATCGCACGCAAGGCTTCGTCCTGTAATTCAGTGTAAATGTATAACAAATATTAAGGTCAAAGTCAAAGTTAAAGTCAAAATCATTTATTTCAATTAGAACAAAAAGGCACTTTTGAACATAAATATTTTTTTTAAATGAAGCATTTTGCTCATTCCAGGGAGTAGATTCCTATGGAGAAAAACAAGCAAGAATCTCCATTAAATGGATTAACCCTATCAGTTATGTTACAGCACACCTTTTATTGAAACTAATAACCCTTTGCCTAATCTCGAAATCAAACCCAGAATCCCCTAGCCGGCTGTCACAATTGTGACTTCTCGAACGAGACATATATTTAATTTATGAATATGTACAATACATGAAAAATATTAAGATATAGATTAAATTTATTGTCAATAATTAAATGTCAAACATAATATACATTAAATAAAATAAATAAATTAAACCGCATTGCATTGCTACTTAAGACCGAAATGCATGACTCGAAATGGAGAAGAGAAGACATCTTTGTAACGACAGTCTGGTGACGGTGCACATACACCCCGTCAGTACCACTTATCTTTCTGCGGATATCGTAACTGAGAGACTACCAGTAACCGTAATACGATAATATAACTATGCCATCGGCACGCTAGCTGACACCACCAACTATGTACAACTCACATCGTGGCTTTCATTAAGTCATACAAGTATGATATACAGGATGTCCCCGAAGTCGACGATCAAATGGCACCAGGTGAACGGCAAGGTTCCAACAGTTATCAAAAAAATATTAAAAAAAATCCATGTCAGAAAGGGTTTCAATTACAATGACTAATGTGGTATCCACGAAAAAGTACATACTGTACAAGTGGATATGTCCACTTACTTGAATCCACTGTGGTAAAGTGGACACGAGGTGCATGAATAACAAATTTTATTACATTACTTGGTTTAAAATACCTACCTATCTCTGATTTAGTGGAGTTCGAGCCTTTAATTAGTTTAATAAAATTAGAAACAGAATATACTTACTATTAATGCAATCGCTTTCGGCAGTTTAGTGAGATCGAGCCCTTTGTTCTGCTGGGTCTGAGGGCTTGGAGCTGAGTCTACAGCACCTGCGAAAAGGGCGACCACCGCCAACACGATCAATGCCGTCAGTCTCATTTTAGGCTTGGTTTCTGCTACTCTGGGATGTTTACGAAGCAAATTGCAAATTGGACTGTGACAAAACTCATTAGCCCCTGGTTTATATACACTTACCATAACAATAAATAAATAACTGTTTTTATTTTAGCTTTCCCTATTTGGTGAAGCGACATATATAATTTAATTTACTGTCGCTATGAGTTATGTTTATTTGTCAGTCTCCCAAGTAAGGTAATTTCGTGATATGAAATTAATTACTTATATGTACCGAGGTGGTGAGTTTTTTTTAAACATTGCCCTGTTCTGTTATTTTCTGCCGTGTCGTGGGTGCGTTTACAAACATACAAGTTCACATACACATGATGACACCCAGACCCGAAGCAACAATCTGTGGATCACACAACGAGTTGTTCCGTGTCGAACCCGCGACACATTGCGCAGCAGTCAATTGCTCAACCACCACGCTAACCGTACGTCCTTGTGTTTAAGAGAAAGCATTACTTAGTTAATAAATAAAGTCCTAATACCAATATAGCATGTCGAAGTTGTATATAGATATAGCGATATAAACATTTTATTGATTTATCTCATCCATGATCACTGCACTGCATTGCAAAGGTCTGTAAATAAAAAGCCAAGCCAAGCCTTGATGGAGCTGTTATTTCACTCTTGGGTATAGACGTTTGAATGGACTTGATCATTTGTTTGGCTTTTGTTTTCTAAGTAATCATCATCATCATCAACAGCCGGAAGACGTCCACTGCTGGAGAAAGGCCTCCCTTAGTCCTCCACGTCAAACTAAGTAAATTATGTGGTTATTGTTAATTTCGTATCAACGTTTTTTAACTGACTTAAAGAGGAGTTTTACCTGTATGTATGTTTGTGTGCGATCTTATAATAATGAATTTTCTAGACAAAGTTGCATCACATCTAAGCTTCCGTACTGCGATTTCCTCCACCGAGGGTTGGCTAGTCTTTACAGAATACTTTGGTAGGTTTCAATTCTTTTTGTAGAAACTTGACATTCTACTAATATTATAAATGCGGAAGTTTGTGAGGATGTATGTGTGTCTGTTGTTACTCTTTCACATTAAAGCGGTTAAAGGGATTGAGATGAACTTTGGAACAGGACAGAACACATAGGCCTTTTATACCACGGGATCGCGGGTAAAACCGCTGGCAGAAGCTAGTTATCTATAATATAGAGATATATATATGTATATATCTATATATAAATGAATCCCTATATCCCTTCGTTACGCCACTATACGTGAAAGCCTGGACCGATGTCACTATTTTTTTCTTTAATGTCCTTTCGCTAAAATTTCCTAATAAAAATACTTTTATGTTCTTATTTTCGTGTTAACGACAGACTTTGTTTCTTTTTCTGAGAAAATCGGATAGACTGGCTCTTGTAAACCAAAATTAGACTCATGTATGACCATTAAGAACATGACCAACTATAAATGACGCAATATAAAAAAAATACCTAGATGTTCATCGCGATCTGCCTTATTTTTCATATTGTTTGAATTCAGTCTATATCAATTTACCCATTATTTGGAATCCATGAAAAAAATAGCAAAAAAACTACTTAGTAGGTATTATAAATGAGTGTAGTGTTTTCGGTGAAAGTAACAAGAGTAAATAGTTAAAACAATAATTTAATAACAAAAATAACAAATTAAAATAAAAAGTCCGACTGGGTTTCGAACTCATACACTTATTATTGTAGTCGGAACGCGTTTGATAGTAGCTGCACGCGGTTTTCTCCACCACGTTTTCCTTGTTGTCCTCTGTTTTTGTATGACTTGTACAACTCGTGGCCAGTTGCTGCTCCACTGGCTACTCCAAAAATTGTTTTCTGCAATTAGAATAAAAAAAATGTAAAAATTAAATAATACTTATGTACCTCACTAGCTGTTGTCCGCGATTTTGTCCGCGTAGAATACGATTTCTGTTTTATCCTATAGGAGAATTTAATCGGGATAAAAGTATTCTATCATCCAAGCCCATGCCCTGCCGTTTTACCATCAAAATCCGTTCAGTAGTTTCAGCGTAATTGACGGACAAACATCCAAACAAAGAAACTTTCACATTTATAATATAAGTGTGATGAATAAATAATAAGAAGAAACAAAATTAAAATTTGAGATAAATACTTACAACCACCTTCCCTACTTTCTTCAGTCCTTTGAAGTTGACCTTAGGATCTGGGTTTGGAGCCGAACACACACCACCCGCGAAAAGTGCGAGCACCGCCATCAGCATCACGAACAGCGCCGTCAGTTTCATTGTATGGTCCTGATTACTGTTATAATTTTACTTGTAATAGTTTCTGCTACCCTGGTAGCTCTTAAAAACAGATCTCAAAGTTGACTGTGACAACACTTGGCAGAACATGAGCTTATAAACATAAGAAGGTTCCCTGTTTAGAGATACTTACTGACGCACCGGAATTTAGTCTAATTCAGTAAATACCATGTCCATGTAGGTAGGTTAAGGAAACAGTTAAATTCTTGTGACGTTACAATTTCCCATTGTCGTTGGGCCTATTAAACATGTGCCCACTAATTGCTATTCGATCAGATCATGTAAATCCCTGTTCATTAATTAATTTAAAACATGAGCAATTAGTTCCGACTGACGTATAAACGTATAAACGTTTTGAACCAAACCACATTTGAGAGATAAACACTATTACACTGTGACACTAGGTATTTAATTGTGTGTTACGTACACAGCGTTCGGATTACAAATTCAAGTCTGTGATTTAATCTACGTATTTACAGATCTTTTCAATCGTCACATATACCTATAAAAATCACATTTCTTTAATCGTGATGCTGATCAGAATTTGTATTAAATTATTTCTTGGTTGTCCACTAAAATAAATTTGCTATCAAGCAGTATCTTTCAAACACAATCACGATTTAACAGCCAAAATACCGTGAATACTAAAACAATTATCATTATCTTCTTTTTTATTAAAAAAAACGTTGCTCCACACTAGGATTTTCTATTGGGTGCGTTTACAAAAATACAAGTTCACATACACATGACACCCAGACCCGGAACAACAATCTGTGGATCACACAAAGACTTGTTCCATGCGGGAATCGAAACCGCGACACGTTGCGCAGCAGCCAGTTGCCCAGCCACCAACCGTGCAGTCACATCAATCATCATGTAAGCATATTAGCTGCCTCGTTGACCGAGTGGTTGCAAGTGCGACTGCCGGGCAAGGGGTCTCGGGTTTGATTTCCAGGTCGGGCAATGCATTACTGGGTTTTTAAAAAAATCTCAGTAGTAGCACGGAGTCTGGAATTGTGCTCGGTATATGGTAATAGGCTCACCCCCTATTAAATGGGACTGACTACATAAATAGTGAAATGTGGTTGTTACATTGTACAGTGGCATTAAGTGCCGTAATGTAGACCTCTGCCTACCTACCCCTTAGGGGTAAAAGGCGTGATGTTATGTTATATTGAAAGCATATCAGCGCTGGATAATATAGAGGTACAATGATGTAATGTGCTCATTACTATTAACACACCGATTTAGTTAAATCTTCTAATCATGTGTTATAGGAGATGAACCCATTCAACCACATTTTGGCTATAAAAGGCCGCCTAAGTCATCTTAATAAGTACTTACCAATGAAATCAATTCTGTAGTTTTAGGCATAAAAGCATAACAGACATGCGGAGTAGTAATTTCGCATCGCATTTGTAATTTTAGTATTGTTTATGTCATCATCATCATCAACAGCCTATAAATGCCCACTGCTGAGCAAAGCCTCTTCTCACACGGAGAAGGTTTGAGCATTAATCACCACGCTTGCTCAATGCGGGTTGGCGATTACAAACTTATAATTAGAAATTATAAGTCCAGGTTTCACGATGTCACGATGTTTTTCCTTCACCGATTGTCAGTGGTGTCTAAATAATCTTAGAAAGTACATATAACTCGGAAAAAGTCACATTGGTACTTGCCATTGGTAGGTTTCGAACCCGCACCCTAATGCATGAGAAGCGGGCGTCTTAAACCTCCGGGCCACACGACACTTGTTTATGTCATAGATGAGGATAATGGAACTGCATACAAATGTATAACATTCAGCACAAAGAGAAAGCAACTAGATAAATCTTAAAAATAGATTTTTCATTATCTACCTCTATAATTTACAGTCAGTTTATTGAAGTTTGCTGTTTTCATGAATTCTTAACGCGCGTTTAGGAAGATGTGAGATTTTCATAATGTGAAAACTAGAGAAAAATATGTGCACATAAACGTTGGATGTGTGATTCGTAAATCTGATCAGATCTGAACAAGAAGTATTCTGTTAAACGTCTACTTATCGCAAATTGAGAGCCATTCAGGGCGTGATCATGAAATTGAACCTATTTGTTGCTCACTGCCTCCTTGGCCGAGTGGTCGCAAGTGCGACTGAAGTGGGCAAGGGGTCTCGGGTTCGATCCCGGATCAGGCAAAGTATTACTGGGTTTTAAAAAAACATCTTAGTAGTAGCACGGAGTCTGAAATTGTGCCCGGTATATGGCAATAGGCTCACCCTCTATTACACGGGATTCATAACATAAATAGTGAAAAGTGGGTGTTACATTGTACAGTGGCATAATATGCACCTCTGCCTACCCCTTCGGGGATAAAAGGCGTGATACTATGTAGGTATGTTGCTCACTTGCTTACGACTACTTATCAATTAGCCATGCAAAAGTAATAGCAGATTTTAAGACGTATTTATTTAACATTATCAAAATAGGTATTTTTATGGATTACATTACGCAGCACAAAAATGAAATTTGGGCGTTGCATTTACTTATGCACATCTCTACTTACTCCTCAGGGAATAAATAGCATGTTGCTGTGCATAGCGTCGACACTGACAGTGGGACTGGTCGAGTCATTAAAGTTACCCAGGGCAGTATGGAAAAATTCCAATACAATGTGATTTGATTTCGATAATGAACCAAAGGACATTGCCCAAAGAATTAAAGTGCAGAGATGGTTGTTTCGTTGTTTAGGTGAATATAATTAATACTTTTGGGCTTACAATTACATAAAAAAACAATTCCTGCATTTGCACTATTTTTTTTAAGTTCTTTCGTACAATAGACATACTTAATTATACAATAGACAATAGACTATACACTTATCTGTCGAATGTGAAATGCGCGTGCATTAACGGAGTTGAAGAAGCCTTAATCTGTCAAACACCAAGCGGTCACCGGTGACCGC